CTAAAAATAGTTACAAAACAAATAAAAAACCGAACAGAATAAAAAATTTTACACCTACAGAATGCCTCCAATTCATTGAAAAAATCCTAGTGTATACAAGTATGGTATATATGTATATACCTACACTCCCCTTCATACACGCGGTTAGGCTGTGTTGGTGCAAAAACATGATGAGGATAATAAATGCATATAAAAAAACATAGAAATTATAAATGAATAGCAGCATACAACAAAAAAAAAACTTAAAAACTAAAAATTTTAATAAAAGTTTGCCAGTATTTTAAAATTCAAATTAAAAATTTCAAGTGATGAAATTATGCAATGACGGTGGTAGATGCAGGTACAGCCGTACAGGTATGGAAAAATATGGTTTTTTTTCTTAAACAAATTCATTAAAGTATTCAAGATCTTTTGACCTACAAATACATAGAAACCGTAATAATTATATAAAAAAAATGACAAATAAGAGTTTTTAAGTTCAAAATTAAATAATTTTTATTTGCATTCAAAATAAAAAAAAATGAAAAATGAAAAGTCGCCATGCGTTTTCTTTACAATTCCATTATGCATTTATAGTGACAGTAGGAGAGTGGAGAATTGTAGAGATTGAGAAAATGACTCATAAATTTTTAATTGTTTTTTTTTTTTAAATTATTGACATAATTATTGAAATATATGTGTGTATGTGTAATTGTAATTTTTATTTACAAAACGGTTTCTTAAATCACACTGTATTTTGCTAATCATTTATTTTTAAAATTTTAGTAAAAATATAAAATTTATTGACTATGAAAATTTGTCTGGGAAAATTAATATGAAAAAAAAACTTGAAATGATTGAGCTTAAGTTTGTAACATTATTTTCTAGTAATAGAATTGAAATTTTATTTCTGCGGGATATGTAATAAAATAAAAAATTTGAGACATTTTTATATTCTACTTTTGGGTGACTAGGAATTTTGACTCCTTAAGCTTAATCGTCTTTTGTTTTTTGAGTGACAATTCTCGATGCCAAAGAACTCTTTTAGGGATTTAGGACATAAAAATTTTTGCTTAAGTTTTGAACAAAAAGGGCAATTTTCAGCTATTTGAGGTTTGAATTGTTGTAATTTTTGAGCTAAGAATTTTTTTGAGAATTATGCCGGAAATAAACGTGACCTTATATACTTTAAAAAAATTACTTTTAGAGTAAATTTATTTAACATGCTATCTTTACCGTTTAGCTTTAAAATTTGTTCATCTATAAAATGTGAGCAAAAGGATTGCATATTTTAAATTCTTTAAGCACTAGTAAGTACTGTTAAATTTGCTAAATGAGAGCTTAAATTTAGGGAATGCTATTGCAATAAATAGGGGATGCAAACAAAAAAAAAATACAGAAAAAAATTGAAAATATTACAAAAGAGAAGACACCTAAATCATTTCTCCAACGAGAGAAACACCAGAGCATGAGATGGCAAACATGAAAGAATTACGGTTTGTTCAGAATTAAATTTTCGTTTATTTTGACTTTAATTAGAAATTATTTTCTTTTTAACACTACTTATCTATATACGCATTATTATGCAAATTCTCACATACATACATATAATATGCATTATTATAATAAATACATACATATATATGTACTTACTCTTGTAATTTTAATTTATTTTGCCTCATTTTTTAATTACAAAAAATTCAATTTAATTTTATCCGATTACTTCTCATTAATTACGTTCAAACTCCCCTCATCTCACAAATTCCTTTTATCGTGATTATGAGCGCGAGTAAAATCGCTCATTCGTAAATCGTGAATAAAACACAAAAAAAAAGAGAGTAAAAAATAATATTTTTGGTTTTTTTTTGTTTTTTTGTTGCTCATCTTTATTTTGTCTCTAAATTAAGTGAATGAAAAACTCATAGTCATTAAGTCATAAAAAGGAAATATTCAATTTCCTTCTTTTCTTTTTTCTTTATTTTTAATTGTTTTTATTTTTGTTTTATACCCGCTATACGTTTACAGGATATGGTTGAAAGTGAGTGAAGAGAGAAAGTCACCGTCTCTATTTTTGGTTGACTCTAGGATATCCGATTTTATTTAATTTATTGTCATAATTATTACAAGAGTATGTATAATCATATTTTATAATTTTGAAAATTTTTGAGAAGAGAAAATTTTATTACAATTAAGTGATTTATAAAGCTAGGTGAAATTTATTAAATTATGTAATTGTAAATTAAAAAGGTCTTTTGTAATCAATTATTTTTAAAAAATATTTTAAAAAAACTCCGAAAATATTTTAAGAAGACATAATAAATAGCATCTGTGTCGGAGGTAAATTATTAGACATTACATTTTCAACACATATGTATATGTATAAAAGCAAAATTGTCTTTTTATATTTTATTCTGTCTCGTCGTATACGTCTGATTTTTCCGGTATAACAAAACTTTTCTCTGTCTTTATTTACTCTTAAACTATAGTCTCTCAAAATAACTAAAATTTAAATTTTCGGCAATTTATTTAGAGAACGTATTATTACATTACATACGGGAAAACGTAAATAACTGCTAAATAATTTAGGAGAAATGTTCTACTTCAAATACCATTGTGGTTTGCTCCAAGCCTTTTAAAAAATTATTTGAAAAATGTAAGGGTGTGAGCAGTTTAAATAGTTTTTTAAGGTGTGAAAACGTCAACTTCCAATTATTTTATAATTTTAAATCTAATTTATAATACCGATTCTAAGTTTGGTTTTTTACACAACTATAATAAATTTTAAAATAGAAAACAGGAAAAAACAAAGGTATTAAAATTAGTTGATTTTTTTTTCGTATCCTTCAAGGACAACAAGGGAATATCTATAAGTAAGTATCTATAATAATTTTATAGATAATTTTTTATTTCATTTTCAGGCAATTATTTTTTTTTGAGTAAGAAACGGAGTTGGATGTCATTTTACGATCTATGCAAGGGATGGTCCTTTTTTTTTTTATGTATAGTTAAAAAAAAAGTTTTACAACAAAATTTGATAAAAAAAACCATAATTAAAGAAAAGATCGAAAATCGGTCTTTTTTGTCTGCTTTTCTTTCTTTTAATTTCAATTTTATTTTAACATTCTTCATTTTTTATTGTAGATTAAATAATGTGTCGCCATTTTCTATAAAAAAAATATCTAGTCTTCTGTGAAAATTGTAATTTGTAAAAATGTTAAAAGAAGTAAAAGTTTCTTTAGTAATGTTCGGTTGCTTGTTCTTTAAAAGAATTGAATAAGTAATAAAAAAAATGATTTTTTTTATTAAAAAGAATGAAAATAATTAATGATTTTATCAAAAAATTGAAATAATGTTAGAGAAAACGGATAGAAAGATTTTTTTAATAATAATTGACCAAACAAAAAAAAAAATTATTTCACCAATAATTAAATTTTTGGTTGCTTTCATGATTGCTTCTTTAAAGAGCATAAAATGTGAGAGAGAGTAATTAAGAGAAGCTTAACTTTTTTCTCCAGTAAAAAGCTTTTCATTCTTATATGTATGAAAAAACAAAATTTGAGGAATTGAAAAACATTATAGATAAAAAAACTTAAAAGGGGGGGGCTGTTTTTCAGATGGCGTTCAAATTTGTACAACGCCGAGGGATCCGTGCCCTTTTACGGGACAAGAGCTAGAGATTTGCTGACACTGACCAGGAAAATCTCAATACAGTGGTTGGCATTTTTAAGGAGCACTGTTTGTTAGAACACAAGTAAAATCACAAGGAGGCTTCGTCATTGGACGTGACATTGGGCGGGATGCTGAGACAATGGGGTGATGGAGGTTTTGCGACACTTATCTGGCTCTGATGCGAAGGGGAAAATGCTTTTTGGGAGGATAAATGAACGGATTTTGGGTCGTCCGTGGATCATTTACTAAATTTTGTCATTGACCTTCTATAGGCTTGGTGCTGGGTTGTAGCATTGAGGTACCATTGACTCCAATAGCTCACCACCATCGAGGGTGTCAGGAGAGTGGCAAACTAATAGTGGGAGAGTGGGAGTTTTTATGACAAGGTTTTTAAAAACGTCATTTAATACCAATATGTCAAATTGGGTAAAATTTCCTAACACTATTCCCATAAAATAAAAAATTTATGCTGTATGCATTATGAGTACATGTAAAATGCACATGATATTTTATGAACTATTTTCTCAGATCACTTTTGATTTCATTCATTTTCACTTGATTTGATTCGATTGGTTCTTCTTCCTCTAAAAGTATCCGTATTATTTTCATGTTCAGTTTTTTTTCGCTTCACTTGATTAATTCAACTTAAATATTGTAGAATATAATAGATTTTTTATATAAAATTTACAATAAAATCAGGATTCATTTAAATTGACAGCAATATTTTATGCTTCATCAGATTTTTTGTTATAAAAAAATTGCGTAAATCAGAAGCGTATGTTTTTAAGCGCCCTCTTTTTGTAAAATATGTACTTTACTCTTCTTAATATAAATATAACGTAAATAAATATAATGAAGAAAATGTCCTTTGTCAGAAAATTTATTGTCAAATTGTTGATGCTTATAGTATCCATAATATTTACTTATGTATATAAAATATAACAATGTTGGGCCACTTTTGAAGAATATTTGAATATAAAGGATATTTTATTATTGTCACAATTTTGATTAATCATTATTTATATATTTTTTGTTGTAATAATAATTGAATTCAATTTTGCTTCTCTTTTGTTAATTTAAATTCTATTCTTATCACTTCATATTGATAAACGGTTTTAAAATATTAAAAGATTTATCGTTTTTATAAATGATTTTTTTTAAGTTTTTTATATTATATGGAAGCCAATATATTATAGGCAATAAGGACATGGTGAAGAATAAAGGAAAATAAGTGAGTAGGCTTTTTGAAAATTAAAAAAATTTTGTAATAATATAAAGTTAGAACATTACTAGCATTTTTTCAAAATTTAATTTACATTTTACAAGAGATAAAAATCAACTTTTGTACTTACGAGGGGTTAAGTTTGTTTCTTATGCACTAATGTGATAGCAATATTAACTAAAAGTATGTACCTGAAAAAAAAAGAAAATTTTGAAAAATTATTATCAAGTAAAAATACTTAATTAATAAAATATTAGTAGCAGATTGAAAAGGAAGTAATTCAATCAGTAATGTTCAATTTCTTAATTTTTGTAAAATTTGTTTAAACATTTTATGAAACTGTGTTTGTAACAGGGTTAACAAAAAATGTTTATTTGACATATAAATGTCAAATATACGACGAAATCTGCGATTTAATCAGAGTTTATTGATAATCATATGTGTAATAATATAGAAATTACTTTATAGCATATACGACAAAATCTAACGTTAAATTACGACAAGTTAACTCATGAGTCATTTTATTATATACATTGTAATTTCCAAACATATTACTATCATAACAGTTTTAACTTTAAATTACATAAAAATATTGTGACACGCGTAAAATCAACTACAATTCCAAAATTTTAGGGTTACGGAAAAAATATTTTTACACCCTGCACTTTGTGAAGGGTATATTAACTTTGCTATGGAGTTTGTAACTACTTGAAGGAGTCATCTGCGGTATGGACATATATATATATTCTTGCTCAGCGTAAAATTCATAGCGTATAGACATGTCCGTCCGTCCGCCCGTCCGATCGCGCGATAACTCAAAAAAGAATAATGCAATCGACACCAAACTTTCACAAGTTTTTTCTTTTGTGCCAAGGACGAACCCTATTGTTATTGGACTAATTCGGACAACGGGTTCGGGTAGCTGCCATACAACTCAAACAGTTTTTTTTAAATATTTCAAAAACTAATAAAGCTATATAAAATTTTGTATATATATGTGTCCAATCATATTTTACACATGCTCTAAAAATTATAATGGGATAGCTGCACCAGTTCGGGTGGCTGCCATACAACTCCAACAGCAAATTTTTTATATTCGGCAAAATAATAAAGTCAGATTCATGAAACTTAGCAGTTATGTGTTCAATTATAGGTCAAATATATTTCTGAAGTTTTAGAGGAATTGCTTGACAGGTTCGGGTACCTGCCATACAACTTCAGAAGCTAATTTTAAATATTTGGGAAAATAATAAAGTCAGATTCATGAAACTCGGCAGTTGTGTGTCCGATTATTAATGGATGATGTTGTATTAATTTTTATTTTATGCAATAATGCAATTTGCTTAAAAAATGAGGGGATTGAAATAGAAAATTGCATAATTACAAATAGATATTTAATTTTTTGGAAATTATAGAGAAATTTTTAAACAATTGTAAGTAAAATTATATATTGTTATTTGTCCCAATAGTAATAAATTGATATTACATATTGTATCTGTTTTATAATATTTGAATCACATTTTATTATAATTTTAGAACGTTTCGAAATGAAATACAGCAAACCCGATTTCCGGAATCGTAAACAAAAGTTTTTATATTTGTGAATATCAAAAGAACATAATGTATTTGCAATTAAATATTGTTGGGTTAAATAATAAGAGAATCAGCAATCCCAAAGCCGAACTCAGAAACATTTGAACAGCTTAATATCCCCGACGGCTCGCATGTGCAATAGACTACCTAACCACCTACCACAAATTGATAACACCGTTAAATTCAAGAAAAAAGTGAAACCATACAAAGAAAATTTAAGTTTATTTTATCAATTATAAATATTGACATACTACCTCTCAGTGAACATAACAGCGGCTTCACTTGAACTCACACATTTTATGGTAACACTATACTATAATAACAGTGTCAGCAAATAAATATTTGTTTACTTTTATTCCAATACCAGCAAGGTTGAGGTGGATGACACAACTTTGTTTTGATACTTTGATACATTTCATCAAAAAACACATTTTATTAAAAATTGAAATTTAAAAAAACAATTCGTTGTAGAGCAAAAATTAGCTCCTCCAATAACTCTGGAAACTACTGTCCATATGCAAAAATGTGGCCAGTACTTGCTTCGAGCTACGCTGTCTATTTTACGGAATAACTACCATTTATTTATTTCGAATTAAAATTATATATGTATTTTATAAAATAAAACTCAATGAGAAGTTCAAAATTATCAAATTAGTTATATTTAAATATTACAAATTAGGCCTTAATTATTTCGATTAAACTTAATTTATATAATTTGTAAAAAAATGTGTGTATGTTTATTAAATTCGTAATCCCGATTAAAATTATTCTTGATTCAAAATTGAAGTGACAAAAATATTAAAATATTTAAAAAAAATAAAAAGTAGGTCAAATTTTCATTTTTAAATTTCCAAAAAAAATTTAAAAACAATATTATAGAACAGCGAGCATGTTTCAATATTCCAGCATAATCTCGAAATAAAACAAAAAAAAAGTTATTTTTAGCAAAGATATTTTTAAAAATACCTAGCGTTAAAAAAAAACATAAGTTTGTAAATATTAAAAACAAAAAAAATTTGATTAGAAAGCATAAAAGTGACAATGACTTTGTGTCAATGACTGGCAATTAAAACAAAATAAAAACGTAAACAAATTTTTGTTTTTATTTTTTATAAAATTCGAAATTGTAGTTTTACTTTTTTTTTTTCTAATTTATTACAGTATTTATATATGATACGTACGAGTATGTACGTACACAATTGTGAAAAAGTAAAAACATTAACGGTTTCTAGAATTTGCTTATTTTGCCTCAAAAATTACAATATGTTTTCTTTGCATGTTCCCTTGTGCAACTTTCTAGATTTTTTATTTCATCATCTTTTACGTAAGTGTAATTAAATAATCACAAAGCTCTCAAAGCGCAGAATTTAAAATAAAGTGTTATTGAAAATAAAATTCCAAAAATGCAGTAAATTACAATTAAGAGATAGAGTGATTCTAAGTGTTTTTTGTTATCACTGGGAATTCACAGATTCTGGCAGTATATGATAATAGCCTGCAGCAAAAATATTTTTGGAGATATTTAAAAAATCATTTGAAAAAGTTTTAACGCGTTTTCTGTCTAAACTAGAAGACATAGAGCGATTCTAAGTATTTTTTGCGATCAGTGGAAATTCGCAGATTCTGCCAATATATGATAATAGGCTGTGAGCAAAAATGGTTTTGGAGATATATAAAAATTCGTTTTCTGACTAAACTGTAAAAGAGATAGAGCGATACTAAATGTTTTTTGTGTTTGCAGGGAATTCAAAAAATTTCCATTTTGTTTTAGCTTTATGAAATTACATTTGGGACCCGGTGAAACAGTTTATTTAGTCCATCATTTAGATTTTGTTACTGGTTAATGTTTTAGTTTGACAATACCTGTTGGTTGTCTTAACAAGAATGTGCAGGATGGGAGGCAATAATTGTTCGTTTTATTTGGAGAACAGAGAAACCACGGAGTAATTACTATTTGAACATCATGCGGTTGCGCGCTGAAATTTGATATCTTGTATACTCTTTGGAGTTCTTGATAGAATTGGCTGCATTTTATTGTCAGGTGCTTGTATATGATCAATTTTCTTCACTACGTAACTTTCATATTTTTTTTTTAAATTTATATTGACATTTATAAAATGTTATAATTATAATGACTTTTATTAATTTGTTTCATAAAATTTTATAAATACCATTTTATAATGTAGCTTTCTCAACGTAAATAAAGCAATGATAATGAATATAAATACGAGTTGATCAACAATCTTCTCGGAACTGAGGAACATGAATCTTAATTAGAATAATAAGCTTTAAGTTATATTTTAAGAAATTTATTAATCATTGCTTTTTTTTAACTTAAATTGCAAATTTGCGAAAAATAATATGACGTATTAATGACGTATGCCTTTCGATGTTTTGGAATTATAATTGCTAGATTAACTTACTAATGCGGTACTAGAAAAATTTTAATAATTATTTGCAATTGTTAAATTTTAAATTTAAAATTATCTGTAAAATTAATAAAGTAAAAGTGAATCAAATTAAAATAAAATATTGGATTTCGCAAAAATTAAAATATTAAATTTATTTTTTTTTTGCTTTCTTATTAGTTAATTTTAATTAAAAAATGACCATGACCTCAAAATCTAATGCATTACGTTGAATATGAACTGAGCAATATTATAGTATACCGTTGACAGTCTTATTTCATTTAGATAAGTGTTTTATAAAGTACTTTATCTGAATATAAAGAAAAAAAGTTCAATTTGTTGTTTTTGCCGGATTAAAACGAAGCATTTGATTTGACGATGAACTTCCGATTACCTTTAGAAAGTTCGAAAGTTTTTTTTTAAGTTAGAATAATTTTTATTATTATTGCCAATTGATTAGATAACTTCTAGCAGCTTATCACATTTCAAAAAAATCATTTGATTTTAAAGAAAATAATTATAAATTACAAGCTGACTTGTTTTACTTATATAGAATAACTCAATTAAAAATTAAGATAACAATAACTCTGCAAATGAGTGTCTTCTTTCAGGTTGCGAATATAATACCAAATTTGAATTAATCGACCGACTCTGATTGAATTTTAATGGCTGATTTTCATATCTATAGATTCGTTTTTACTATTCAATTTGTTACAATTTGAAATTTTTATATTTTAAAAATAATTGAATTCTTTTAGAATGGTTTGGATTAATTGAAAATATTTTTATGGAAAATTTAAATATGTAAATTGAAATTCACTTCTTATTTTTAATAGAATTCTTTTGTTTTCCATGAAATTCCATTGTTTTTATATTAAATGAAATTTTACAAGATTTTTTTGGAAACAGATAAAATAACGATCAGCTTATTGCGCATAAACAAGAAGTGAGTTTAAATTTTAATTAGCATTTTAACCTTTTTACAATTTTATATTTGGTTTTGTTTTATATAAATAATTTTCATTATAGACATATTTATTTAAGTATCTAATATTATGACAAAAAATCTATATATTTAAAAGAATTCATAAGTTCAAAAGTTTGTTATTCATGCGAAAGCACATCAACGCTCAAATGTACATACTTATATTTTGGGAAAACCCTAAACAATAATAAATATTTTTAAAAGC